GTGTGTGTGTGTGTGTGTGTGTGTGAGAGAGAGAGAGAGAGAGAGAGAGAGAGAGAGAGAGAGAGAGAGAGAGAGAGAGAGAGAGAGAGACTGATTGATTGTCCGATTGATTGATTGATTGATTGATTGACTCAACCAGTCTGTTCAATCAATTAATCGATCGACTGGTTGATTGATTGATTGGCTGATTGATTGATTGGTTGATTGATTGATTGGTTGATTGATTGATTGGCTGATTGATTGATTGGCTGATTGATTGATTGGCTGATTGATTGAATGAGAGAAGAAAGAAAAAAAGAAAAAAAAAATAGAAAATGAAGAAAAAAACAAGAGACAGAGAGAGAGTCTCACCCTACTCTGGCTTTCATGGACCATGCTCGCTTGCGGGCGTCCGCTAGAATTGGCGGGAGGAGTTCGGCGTAGATAGTCTTCCACCGACCAAAATTGAGGCCATTTTTTTCCATTTTTTTTCACGTCCAGCCGAACGCCAACCGGTCCCGACGACCGGTTCGGCGTTCAGCCGAACGTGACATCGTTCGTCCCATACGCCACGTGGCGTGCGCTGATTGACTCTCGCATTTTTTTTATTTTTTTTTATTTTTTTTAGTTTTGGAAGAAGAAGAATTCAGGGGGCTTGTTCGGACCCCACGCCACCCACAAAAAATAATAATAATAAAAAAACTCCACATGTGTGTTACCTTCCGGGGTTTTGAGGGGTCTGAATCTGAGGTCGTTCGACCCCCAAACGCCTCCCCAGACGCCCGCGCATACGAGGCTGGCCCCGGGGCCTCTCGTACGTACGGCCCGATGACTTTGTGTCATATAATAATTAAATATGTTTATCCCATAATACTTTATGGTTATTTTGTATTTGAGTTCGAATTACAATAGACATTTTATGGTACTTAAAGTTAATTTTGTAATATTATTCTTTAATATTAAAAAAAAAAAAAAATTGATCGTTTTCTTTGTCATACTTGAATTTTTATTACAAAATAAAACTTTGTTATTTTATCTCCATAATCAATTTTACGATCTTATCCTTTTATATTTTTGATAATTTTTTTTTATAATTATCTAATGACTATCCATTTTATTATCACGAAGTAAGAATGCGTTAGTTTGAATGTTTTTAATTCCAAATTAAAGTATGGGAGAGAATCAGTTAACATAGCCATAAATTTTCATCTTTTTTTCATGGTCATTATAAAAAATGCCCAACATATTTTAACCCAGACTTGTCATCAGTCCATAGAGTGAAGACCAAATAAATCAACGAAAAAAAGTAAAAAACTTCATCAAGAGGGCCTTAAACCCCATGACAAAAGTGTGTGGTCGGATGATGGTGAAGCACGACTGACCTATGATGTTAATTCTTTCTATTATCCCACGAAGTTTGTTATGAACGGATCTGGTTTTTTTTTTTTTGTTCACTTCTATGTGGACAATCGCGCTGCTTTTACCATTGTGTTACACTTGTGTTTCATCCTGTGATATCTGCATTGATCAACATTATCGACATGCGAACAAGTGCCTCAACCAGCCAAGGGAGATTGCTTGAAGTTTGGTGGTGGCAAGAACTATGGTTATGCTTCGAAGAAGAGTCTTTTACAATTAAGATTCCCGAAAAAAATGAAGGTTGTACAAGGGGCCGAGTGATTAGACCCCGAAAGAAGATCCTGATAAAGACCGAGTTACGAAGAGGGAGAACAACTCAGGATGGATTATCGAAGGGATGATC